GGGGGAGGAAGGTTGCGCGAAGGGGATTGCCGCGTCTTTGGATTGTGGGTTGGAATGTGGCTGGGCGTGTGGGAACGAGATGAGGATGACGAATGCGGATGTTGATGTAGAGTATGTAGTTGTTTGGTCAGTCGTTAAGATTGGACTGCACGGAAGTGAACGAAGCCAAAGAGGGGTGAACTCATGCCGAAGCATATTGATTCCATTTGCAAGTCTGCATAGCTGCATTCTTCTAGACTTAATGGGGTGTTAATACACCCAGTCCCTATGATTCATTATTCCATTACTCCAGCTGACTCCCGTCAGACAAGACATATCCAAAGATACAGAAGCCACCATGCCGTCCCAGCCTTCGAACAAATGAGAAAAACATACAGAATAAGAGGAAAAACAATATAACTACGCTGAGCAAACGACGTTTCGTGATATCCAGTCCTCCGTAAATACAAAGGAATCCGGGGTGTGAGATCAAGTAAACGCTTTTAACTCCTTTGGTGGCAACGCCCTGCGCCAAATCGTGATAGTATCCAAGATTGTGTGCCGTATTAAGATTATGCCTCCATGTGTGCCCATGAATCGAGAGAGTGAAAGAAATAAAGAGGAAAAGGTATGCCGTATCGCCATAACAGACTGGCAAAGAATAAAAACGCATCGACGAAAAGTCCGGGTGAAGTCAAGAAGCGAAGGTCAACGTTGCGATAAGCATGCTATCAGGATTGAAGCTACTACCCTCTAAAGTCCCCGGGTCCCTGGTTGGCGAAGATGTAGCTCTTGGGCTGGGGTTCGGTCGTTCGCCGTATGAGGTTTCCATGCGGGTCCGTGCCTTGAGGTGGTGTGTACTGGTGTACGAGGAAGTCGGGCATGGCGGAGACTTGGGGCGCGAAGGGAACGTTGTGATGGATGCCACTCAATGACATGTCCTTGTAATCATCATACATGTTTCCGCCCTGCATGTACTGGACATTGCTGTCATCGCCTTGGGCCTGAGCAGTGTCAGGTAGCGATGGTCGCCTGAAGTGCGAGGGCTTCGGTTGTTGAATCGTAAGATCGGTTGTGGAATGGAAAGCTGCACGCATCTGAGGTTGCTGCATGTATGATGTTCGAGGGAAGTGCTGCTGTGTCGCTGGTGCTGACTGCGGAGGTGTGTCGCGGTATAAAGCGTCGTTTGCAAAGCGCGATTGCAAATCCATGGACGAAGATGGGGGTGAAGTGCTCTTCGCAATCACGTTTCCAGATTGGTCGTTAGACCAGTTCGCGTGCATGCTCTCTGGGCTGTTATGATCCGGCATCGCGGAATGAGGTCTTATCACAGCCGCACCACCCCAATAGTTGCCGAAATCTTGTGGTGTCAGTGGAGTTGGTGGTGCTAGACTACCGCCTTGTCCAATTGTAGTAGTGCTCGAAGTCGAGAAAGTTCGTGCGAACTTTGGCGACGCAGCAGCATCTGAGAAGCTCATAGCCATAGGTGAGCGTTGCGCTGAACCTGGCTGCGATTTCTGAACACGACCCCCAGCATTCGCAATTCCAGTTGATCGGATCCGGCGGATGACCTTGTCGTGGTTGCCTCCTGGTGATGGCATGGGGGCAGAATACGAGGCGCTCCTCATTGCGCTGGAGTTCAGGTTGACTGGGCGTTTCTGTCTTCTCGCAGCGATGCTCGAATGCTGATCTGATTGTTGGAAGCCCTCCGGAGTACCGTTTCGGATGTGGATCGCATCCATGTTGTTGGCCAGGTTGCTGCTTGAAGAGTTTCTTCGGGCAAACGCGTCCTCGCGGAAGTGCAGTGGAATGTCGAGATCAGAGGTCGCAGCACTGAGCTTCCGTGCTTGTTCCGGTGAAGTGAGGATGGCGTGTGCAGACGAGTTTGGCTGTTGGTAGAAGTTCGACTGCGGGTACATTTGGTTTGAGCCATCTTGCGGCCAGAATGGAAGCGTCTGTTCGGAGGCTGAAGCCTGAGCAAGACTGTATGGTGCGAACTGATCCTCTGGTTCCTCGACCTGCTTGGGCTGTGCCATTTGAGAGGGATCCTCTGTCCAGCCGGTGTAGACCGAGTTCAAAGAGGCGATTGAGGGAGGTGTAGGTCCATTTGGCGATTGCGTGGTGCCAGATGACTGGGTGCCATTGTATGGGGACGCGTCCGACGAGATGGATCCTGTACTTTGCTGAGCTTCTGCAGATGTAGAGTTGGTGGTGTTGGTCGCAGCAAGTGCCGAGTAGTCTATCTGGAAGTCGGCGAAGTTGTCGAATTCCGGGTGTGAAGGTGCGATGTCGCTGGGCATGGACGCGGAAACCGAAAAGGCACCCAGGTCGCTAGAGTACGCATTGGGCAGCCCGTTGACACCGTTGTTGTCGTAAGAGAAGTCTTGCTCTTGCGCATTAAGACCCATGCCACTGTTGTGCATGTAGGCACCGTTGGTCGCAGCCATGATCGAGTGCATGAGGTCGTTGGAGCGGTACGATGCGGAACGGTCGGGCTCCGGGACTGCGTGGAGGGCGTTTTGCATGTCGTATTGTTGTTGATGTTGCTGCTGCTGTTGATGCTGTTGGTGTTGATGCGGGTGCTGCAGTATGAGCTGAGGGCCCAGGTCAAGGGCTGATGGTCCCTCGCCCGTTTGTACAGGAAGCGTTGCAGGGCTGATGTCAGCGTTCGGATAGTAGTCCGGCTGCATGAGCATATGCGGATGTTGCTGCTCTTGCGGGTGCGCGTAGTGGTTAGACATGACGGGCACGTGCTGGTGTCCAAACGGAAGGCTCATGGTCATGTTGTACTGGTTCATTAGCTTCTTGCGGTCCTGCTTGACTTTGGCTCTGCGGTTCTGGAACCAGTTCTGCAGTCGTGTTAGCGACGCAAGGCATACATCATGACAGGACACTTGCGTTGATCTTGTCCAGTGGCACGCCGAGGCGCGTCGCGAACTCCTTCTTTACATTGGTACTGGGCTTGTGCTGCGCCAGAAAGTGCTGCTCGAGGATGTCGTGCTGGTCCTTGGTGAGGCGGGGTTTGACATCGCTGCCAGGCTGCTTGGGGGCAGAGGGTGCCGTCGTCGAGGCCCCGCTAGAATCCATGGCGGCGCGCACAGCGGCAATACAGGCAGAGGGGCGCGAAGTCGAGGGCGGCGAGTGCTGCAATAAAGTCGTCGGCGTGGGCGCGTTCGGGTAGTGACAGGTGGGTGCAGCTGTGGACGGCGGAATCTGGGGCGCTGGTGATGGGCGATAATGCGTAGAGCACGGATGCACGGGATGCACCGAGACGGGTCGGCGCTGGGATAGATATGTGTCGAGGGAAGATGCCAGTAATGGTAGCGAGCGACGATTACGAAGGGGAGCGAAAACAACAGCAGTAGACTCTATATCTACAATAGAAAAACGAGGGTATTCAGCGCGACGGCGCGGTAGGGAAAGGCACGAAGCGAACGACGACGGAGAAGAAGAGCAGGAGGAGCGATCAGGTTGTTGGCTGCCCAGGTGCCGCTTGGTTGGTCGGAGGTGCTAACTTGCTAAGCCACTGAACCCCCCAGCATGCATTATGCTGCTCCGGCACAAAAATAGTTTCGTGACACTCGTCGTCTCCGCTCAGCACACCTGAATCCTGGAGAAGACGCACCGGATGATTCGATCTTCTGTTTCTTGCACCTGCTCGCCCTCGTGCTCCGTGGAGGGCGGCCACACGCTCGCATACACATAGACTCGCAGCACTGGCCGGCACGCCCAACCCCGGCGCGCAATCGTGAAGCGCGCCCAGGGGCACTCTCCTGCCTCACGCCAATTGGTCCGGCGGTGGAGCGAGCTGCGGCGGCGGCTGTGATCCGCCCTCGGGCGGGAGACATGTCCCACTGATTTGAAGGCGATGGATGGTGCTGCAGCTTGGGCCTTCCCCCGTTCGGAGAATATACATGAGCGTGTGAGAGTGCATGTTAATGCCAGCGCAGCCTGCCTGCTCAACCACGTTCCACGTCAAATGTCTAGTCACCGTCGGCGCCGGCATGGCTTCAACGTGGGCAACGGGCTCGAGCGCTGCTTTGAGCTGATGGCGTCAACACTGCGCTCGCCGTCGTGCCGACATCCTGTGCCTCTCACGACTCGCCGAGTAGCTCTTTGTCAGTAACCGCTTCCGGTCCGAGTCGACCATCTGTGTGACGAGATGCCCCCCGGGCGCATGGCCAAGGGGCATATCGCGCCGCTGATCTGCTGGCTCGGAAGTCGGCGCACATGTTTTGGCAACATATCGACGGTTCCTGAGCGTACCTTGCAGCAAAGGGGCTTCCGTACCACCTGCGAAACTCAAATTGGCCCCAGCTTGTCCTACAAACTTCGTGTGTTGACTGACTTGGGCGACGGATAATCCCAGCCTAGCTCGGAAGACTCAGTGCGCCCCCAGCTGGGGGACCCGCTGGCCCAAACCAAAAAACCTCGTGCTGCAAGGGCGTCCCTATCATGCGCTGCACCCTGCCGACTATCAGACGTCCTCGCCAACCCGTCTGAACTTAGTCTTCTTTGCGAGTCTGTTACGCCAGCTTTCGTGTCGCACCACAGAGACGGCACGCCCAGCTGACGTCTTCGACTGCAGTAGCTTGTGGTGCCGTCGTCTTTCCAGAAAACAGTTCGATGGGGCGCAGACTGCTCGAAATGGAGTATTTCATGCGATGCGCTGCATTCCGTGATTCCCGTACAGGGAGGGTGATACGGCGAGTCGAACAAGGCTAGCACTCCAAGCGACACTCCTGCATGCTGTTTAAGGGTCGCGAGGCTGTGCACGCATGAAGTAGATTTCAACCTCCAAACATTGTTGCTTCGCCGCACAATCGGTCTCCGACCTCATCTTCCATCCAATCTACTGCTTATCGTAAGCTTCAACCGTCTGACTGCAGCTCAGTCACCGATGTAAACTGAGCTTGCAGTAAACCTGAAAACGTCGAGTAAGCAGGCTCACGATCCTGGCAAAATACTGAATCGCCCACACAAAGACGAGTAAGGTAACAGTCGGTGTTGATTCTCTTCGCTTAGACTAAGGCATCTGCGATCTGTATGTCTCCTTGCCCTGTTGCTTTGTCCCATGATGTCAGCGTGACACTGCGCATGTCCTTGACAATGTAATCTGCGCCAGCTTCTATCAGCTGTTCTAGCGTATGTGTGGTGTAAAGTCCCACCACGACGAACCCTGCTGCCTTTCCAGACTTGACGCCTGCAGGCGCATCTTCGAAGACAATGATGGAAGATTTGTTTTCTTGGAGCCCCAGCTTCTTTGCACCCATCTGGTAGGGCGCCGGGTCTGGCTTGCCGTTGGGCACATCTTCTGCCGTTACGAGATTCTTGGGGTGCGCCAGCTTCATGACATCGAGCCAGCCTTGCACAAGAGGTCGCGTGCCTGAGGTAACAATGGACCATGGAACAAGGTGCTCTTCGAGCTTGTCCAACAGAGCTCGTGAACCGGGAATCTCAATGGCGTCTTGTCCGAATTCTTTCGGAATCAACCCCTCTGCTTGGGAGATGTCTTATCTGTCAGATGAGTGCTTTTGTCAAAATGAAGATTTGGCGCTTACACTCCTCATTTGCGAGCTTTGGCTCATAGATCCGAAGGACGTCGATCGACCTTCGACCATGTGATGAAGCGAGGATGACATTAGGATCTACACCTATCTCTTTCCCAATCCTGATGCAGACATGTAAGCTTGGAGACGTGAACATGCTCGGCTGTTACTTACTTGTGCCAATGCTTCACAATGGCCTCTGTGGAATCGATGATAGTCCCACTACCTATATTAGCTGACTTGTAAGATGCTTTCAATGAGCATAACGCACTCCATATCAAAGAGCTGCAGGCGATGAGATATTAGTATCAGTTTGTGATGCAAGTAAGCGTGCTTCTTACCAAGCCATGGAAGGGGATTGTTTTGGCAGGTGCCGAGAAGGAAGGCTCCGATACAGTCATGGTTTGAAATTAGAGATGCGATGAGCTGGATCTCAGTCACCAAGGTCAAGATGTCGCAATGATATAGTGAAGTACCCGAGCGGACTATTGTAGATGTCAACACACCTGGTGGGAAAGAGAATACATTATCGCGCTAACTCGTTCCGGTATCGGATCCGACAACTGCCGATGATGCAGCCAATCATGGTGACGGCAACTAAAGATACTAGTCGCGACGCTGGGGACACAGCCGCGAAGCCTGGCCTGCATTTGACGTTCCAGAAGATGGATAGAGGGTAAAGATGGATCTATTTCCATTTAAGTTGTTGGAGAGCGTGAGAGTTGGGTATGGCAGGGCCGCGGGGGTGGGGCTAAAGCTAGCTAGGCGGACACAAGCGGCAGAATTTTTCACGTGCCGAACTTTTTCTGGATCGGCTAGAACTTTTCTGTAGACGATTGCGATAACATACACCACGCCAACACGTCAATATGAAGGTCGGAAGTAAGGCTTCTCACGGAATTTAGCCCCGACACAGTACTGACGATCATCCTAGAGCCAAAGTCGAAGCGCGTACCCGTGCGGTTAAGGCACAAGATCGAGAAGGCTTCAGCGGCGAAGCAGAAGAAGGCGAAGAAGCTCGCCAAGAAGGTACTGCCACAATGCGCGACTACAGCGCTCGCATTCTGACGCATATAGGATCCGACATGGCGCTCCAAGACCAAGAAGGAACCCGGCATTCCCAACCTGTTTCCCTACAAAGACAAGATTCTCGCAGAAGTGGAGGAGCAGCGCAGGAGGAAGGAAGAAGACAATGCGCGCCGTCGCCAGCTAGCGAAGGAGCAACAACAGAAGGGCGCGACCGCCGAGGACGTCATGGAGGACGACGAAGAGTTTGAGCAATTCGATGCTGAAGGCGACGAACTACTTGCCGACGACAGCGAAGACGAGGACTCGATGCAGGTGGTAAGTCTGAGTGGTTGGTATACGATGCGCGACTGTACTGATAAAATGTAGGACAACAAGTTCAACCCTATGGCAGCTCTCCTAGCTTCCGCCAAAGCGCGCGCCGCAGAATTCGAGAAGAACGACGACCCAGACGCCATGGAAGACAGCGATGACGACGAGTCGGATGGCGATGATGCTGTCAAGGTCCGCAAAGATGCGTCAAGAAAACAGTTCGACAAGGTGTACAAGACGGTCGTCGACGCCGCGGATGTTGTTCTGTACGTGCTCGATGCTCGCGACCCAATGGGAACACGATCGAAAGAGGTGGAGCAGGCCGTCATGGCAGCCGACCGTTCAAGCAAGCGCTTGATTTTCATCCTCAACAAGATCGACTTGGTTCCACCGCCGGTACTTCGCGCATGGTTGATTCATCTACGTCGCTCGTTCCCTACTCTTCCTCTACGGGCGTCGAAATCTGCGCCTAACGCGCAAACCTTCGAGCACAAGGACCTCTCAATCAAGGGAACATCCGAGACACTCTTCAAGGCTCTCAAGACCTTCGCTGAGTCCCGTCAGTTGAAGCGCGCAGTCCACGTCGGAATTATTGGATTTCCCAACGTTGGCAAATCATCCGTCATCAATGCATTGACATCGAGGGTAGGCGGCAAGGCTGCTGGATGCCCTACCGGTGCTGAGGCGGGAGTTACCACCAGTTTGCGTGAAGTTAAGATTGACAACAAGTTGAAACTCATCGACTCGCCTGGTATCGTTTTCCCCAACACCGAAGGTTCCAAGGACAGCAAGGTACAACAAAAGGCGCGCCTGATTTTGCTAAACGCTGTACCCCCGAAAGAGATCGACGACCCTGTTCCCGCTGTCAGTCTGCTCATTAAGAGACTGTCGTCTTCAGAGGAGCTTTTCTCGAAATTGATGGCAGTCTACGATCTACCTCCCCTACACGCTGTGGGCAACGACAGGACGACCGACTTCTTGGTTCAAGTAGCCAGGAAGAGAGGCCGTCTGGGCAAGGGCGGTGTACCCAACATGCACGCCGCGGCACAAACCGTCATCGTTGACTGGAGAGATGGTCGCATTCAAGGATGGACCAGCCCTCCCAAGTACACACCTGCCGAGCCTGATACCACCAAGACTGCACCAGCTACGAAGGGCGGACTCGTTGGCGATCAGAAGGAGATCGTCAAGGAATGGGCTGCGGAGTTCAAGCTTGATGGTCTATGGGGTGATGATTCAAATGACACGGCGGTACCAGAGGCTATGGAGGAGTAGGCAGCTTGTGTTGACTGTTATGGCGAAACGGCGTTCGTAAGGCTTAGTGCTAGTGTACTTGACTCGCACATAGGAAAAGCTCCGACTAAACATCGGACCTAGCAATGATACATGTTCTCCAGACGATTTTGCATTCCTGATCCTAGACGTTTTAGAGTCTTCCGATGCAAGCCTTGCGATGAGCGTATGTGGATCGTGTACCGCTACTGACCGATCAGTTTCTGCGATATCGGATCCGCATCGTACCATAGTACAAGCGAAAAAGTTCTCTCCAAGCTGCAACCCCACACCGATGGGAGTGTTCGGCGATATGTTCGCTCCCATAGGTAGGTTTCGCCGCCCCACACTTTGGGGTGAGAGCCGACGGAAACCGAGAGCTCCATCACGTCAAGCTTCATAGCTCAAGATACATAACGACGCGTTCCTTTAGATTTCTGGTCAATCAAAATTATCATCACATACACAATGGGTTCTTCAAAGGGTCTCCAGCCTCTGCGCTCTGCTTCCAAGACTTTGAATGCGCTGCCCGCAGCCTATGCTGGCGCGCAGATCGCATCGAGACGGTATGCGGGGACGCTCGCAAACTTCAAGATTCCTACCATCAACAACGAGCCTAACGTAAGAGAAGAGACGATGTATATGTTCAAAATCAATATGCTGACTCAAAATTCTAGCAACATTATGCCAAAGGCTCGGTAGACCGCCAGAAGCTTCAAGATGCGGTTGCACGTATGAAGAAGCAAGGACCAGTACAAGTACCTCTTGCCGTAGGAGGAGAATACGTAGGCCTTCCACACGCACATACGAGTCTCGTGTCACTCTAACACCATTCAGATCAACAACTCCTCAATCCTCACTCAGAACAACCCCTCCTCCCACGCCGACGTTATCGCCAAATACTCCAATGCCAGCGCAGCCGATGTGAAGAAGGCCATAGACGCAGCCCTAGCTGCTAAGCCAGCATGGGAGGCACTTCCCTTCGCCGAACGTGCATCCGTGTTCCTGAAGGCGGCCGACCTCGTCGCCACAAAGTACCGATACGAGATCATGGCTGCGACCATGGTGGGACAGGGCAAGAACGCGTGGCAGGCCGAGATTGACTCAGCGGCTGAGCTGTGCGACTTCCTGAGGTTCAACGTCAAGTATGCGGAAGACACATACGGACACCAGCCCACACACAACTCGCCAGGAGTCTGGAAGTAAGTAAAGCATCTGGTTATAGCTCAGGAACGAAGCTAACAGGTACAGCCGCGTTGAGTACCGACCTCTCGAGGGCTTCGTCTATGCCGTGTCACCATTCAACTTCACAGCCATCGGCGGTAACCTCCCTGCAGCCCCAGCCCTGATGGGCAACGTCGTTGTCTGGAAGCCATCCCCATCTGCGATCGCCTCGAACTGGCTCCTTTACCAGATTCTCATTGAGGCCGGCCTTCCACCAAACGTGATCCAGTGGGTGCCCGGTGATGCTGTGGAGGTAACCCAGGAAGTCCTGAACCACAAGCAATTCGCATCTCTGCACTACACCGGTAGCACAGCGGTATTCCGTCAACTATACGGAAAGATTGCGAACGGTGTGGCTGAGGGCAAGTACCAGAGCTACCCCAGGATCGTTGGTGAGACTGGAGGAAAGAACTTCCATCTCGTCCACAAGGATGCCGACATCCACAATGCAGCTATTCAGACCGTCCGCGGTGCTTTCGAGTACCAAGGCCAAAAGTGCAGCGCCTGCTCCCGTCTTTACGTACCCGAGTCCGCATGGCCCGAGTTCAAAGAGATTCTCGTCCGTGAAGTCGAAGCCCTGAAGATCGGCGAGCCCACTGACTTCTCCAACTTCATCGGCCCTGTCATCCACGAGGCATCCTTCAAGAAGCTGTCCGGCGTCATCGACGAAGCCAAGAACGACAGCGAGCTCGAGCTCGTCGTTGGAGGCAAGTACGACAGCAGCAAGGGCTACTACATCCACCCGACCATCTACCGTACCAAGAACCCTAACCACCCCCTTCTATCCCGCGAGCTCTTCGGGCCCGTCCTTGTAGCATACGTCTACGACGACGCTGCGCCCAACGCCTTCGCCAACATCATCAAGCAAATCGACGACACGTCTGAGTACGCGTTGACGGGCGCTGTCTTCGCAAAGGACAGGGAGACTATCAAGTACGCGTCAGAGAAGCTGAGGGATGCGGCGGGTAACTTCTACATCAACTGCAAGTGCACGGGTGCAGTTGTTGGTCAACAGCCTTTCGGTGGGTCAAGGGCTAGTGGAACGAACGACAAGGCTGGTAGTGCGAACTTGTTGGCGAGGTTCGTTAATATGAGGGCGATTAAGGAGGAGTTTATGCCTACGGAGAAGGTTACGTACCCTAGCAATGAGGTTTAAGTTGGATTACGCAAAGTCGAATGATGGAGAAAAGCATGGCATATTCAGCTAGCATTGGCGTTGGCGTTGGATTGGATACAAA